TCTCTGGGGCTCATCTGCCAGCACAGAAATGCCAGCTGCCATGCTCTGGAAGGCAGGGACAGCCTGCAAAGCAAACACCTGGCCCTGAAGAGAGGGGCACCCAAATTGCTCCCAACATGCTCTCCATGCACGTGAAGGTCAGCCCAAAACATCCCCTACCTTCTGGTGCTCCCTGATGGCTCTGAAGCTGGGAGATTTCATGTGGTGTCCCCAGCAACCCAGCCAGTCATTGCTTTCTGCAGAAAAAACAGAAAAGTCCATGACTAGGTACCCTGCCACCCACAATGCCCTCTCAACCCACCAGCACCCCATCTCCTGGGGCAAACAGAAGTGTGCCAGGGATGCTGCACAGCAATAGCACAAAGCACGCATACTGGCTACTGAGAAGCTGCCAAATCAAGGGCTGTGAGTGGGATCCAATTAACTATGTGGCTCATATCCTTGCAGACATGATTGTTGCAGCTTCTGGGCAGATACAGGGTCAAAGGAATTACTTTAATCCCCCAGGACCCTGACTTCCCTGCTTTACAGCAGGTGAATGAAGCAGTTGGCTAATCAGCGCTGCACTGCAGAGGGACATGTAGGATTGCAAGACTTCCTAGGTCTTGCCATTATAGCCCCAAAATGGTCTGCACAGAGATCTCCTGGTACATGCAGGAGCCCCATAAGTACTGTTGGGAGATCACACTCCAATGTATGGATAATAGCTGCAAATTCTCAGTGCTTCTCCAGCCCCAGCCCTCTCCCACTCATCTCTTCAGCAACAAGATCCCAACCTTGAGAACTCTGGCTATGGTCAGAGGGGATGGCTTCTTCCTCAGCACATGGGGACAGGGGACAGCAGTGCTGGGGTTAACACCAAATGAGCGCCAGGCTCCTTAGAGTGGCAGCACCATCTAGAGGCACAGCTCAAACAAGCTGGAGCACAGCTCTGCTGCCCCACACACTGCCTCAGCTCCTGACAAACCAGGCATAAGTCCTTGTGGTCCATGCCAGGGACAAGACAAGAGGGTGATCAGGCCCCACCAGGTCCCACAGAGCTCAGATATTGCAGGTCAGACAGGCAGAAACAGGAACCTAGCATCCCGCAGTGCCGAGCCTGTACCACTCCTGCTCTCCTCTTTGCAGGCAGTCCGTCTTCCTGTGCTCAAGGGCTGGAGGCGAGGGAGGACATGACATGTTGGATGCTGCCAGCCTCCCACAACTTACTCTTGCTGACTCTGAAGTGGGACCTGCCAATGGTTTGTTTCACTATGTTTGGTGTGACTGTGCACATTTTCCATCGCAGCAGCTTCCTCTGTTCCCAAGGCAGCTTTTCCACTAGGAAGGCAAAAAGATAAAGACAGAAGGAAAACAAATACAATGCCCAGATCTTCTACAGCTGCGCCCAGGGAAGTTCTTATGGTTTGCTGCACAGGCACCAGGCCTGCAGAGGAGGGTGTATAGCCCCCTTCACAGAAGTAGCATGGAGCAGAAGACTCCAAGGCTGGGGGAGATCCAGGATGCTGGAACATTTGGTGGCAGCCTGACTCATGCTCCAGGCTGTGGGAACAGCCATCATTTTATTCCAGCCTTTTGGATCTCACAGCGGTGCTGGGTCTCATTGCAGGAAGGGTGAAAGGGAGCTACTGTCGGCCAGCTCTTGGCTGTGTGCTGGAACCGCTGCTTGCTAATAACAGGCTGGCTGCTCTCACCCTGCACCGCAACAGACCCTGGCTCACCTCTCTCATCCCGAGTACTGAAGTATATGGTTGGAGGCACATTAGGGAACAAACTGCAGACAAGAGCTGGTTTGAGCACTTTCTCTTGAGCCTCAGCAGGCTGGGCGAGGCACTCGATGCAGTTCCTAGGAGAGATGAAGCAGTAGGTTGTTGGCTAAAGGTGAAAAGTAGCACAGGGAGGAAGGGGGAAGCCAGAAGGAGCCTCGATCGTGGTATTGGGAATTTGCATCATTGCCATGTGGTGCAAGCAATGGGCACTAAGGTCAGTAACCCAGTCTGCAGTGACGAGGGGGTAAGCTTGCACATGCCAAGTGTTGCAAGAATGCACATGCCAAGTGTTGTAACACCTGTGGGTTTTGCTGGGGCAAGGGGTGGATTTTGTCACATGACAAACCCTATAACCTAGTCCACAGGAACAAGGGGCAGAGGTTGTAATGCATAAGATTCAGCTATTGTAACCTTCTTGGTGTTGGTGTGTTGCAGGGAAGAGGGCTGGAGTTTTACCGACTATATGTACACCTTCTTACCACAGCAATCACTAACACCTGGGAGGAAGGGTAGGATTTATAACATATCTATTAAGGTTGGAATGACCCTAGAAGTAGAGTTTATACTGAACATATATTAAAATTTAAGGCATTACAGCCAGTGGAAGAAGCCACGCCAGAGCAATCCATTAAGGAACAAAAAGGAGCAAAAGAAAAGGAAAGACAACACATTGTCCCCAATCTTCCAGGCCACCCCTCACCTCTCTGAAGGGACTGAGTATAGCCTGCAGCAAGGGGATTGGAGACCAGGATGGGGAAAGAGAGGTGTTTTCGCTAAGTCCTTCCATATATGTATTTTTTTCAACACCAGAATCGGTAATTAAAAGTTTGTTAATTGGCAATAAATTATGTTAACATTCCCTGGCACAAAACTGGTTTTGCCCACAACAGACTGAAGGCAGGAGACAGCTGCAAAGGCTTCGAGGCCAGCCCTCCCTCTCCGCCGCAGGAAGCATTTGGCCCAAGCGCTGCTTCCCCCTATCCCCCAGAGGCCAACCAGCCATGTTGTTTTCCTGCCAGAAACAGCTGCTGGTCCAATTTACATCACTTCTGCAGGATTTTCACAACCACACCCAGAGTCCTGCAGCACTCTGAGGTTCAACACTGCCTCACAGGAAGCCTTCCACATCTCGCAGATGAGTTATGGCATGACGGAAAGCAGCAAGCTGTCAGGCAGACAGCAAAGCCTGAGGCAGCCCTGGTACAAGGGACAGCACAGCTGCAAGGACCAGCTCCTGTTGCTGGATGGGCAAGAGCAGGTCCCACAAAGGTCTGCCAGGAGTCACGGAGGCAGGGCTCAGATGACCACAGGCTGACCAATCCTTCCCAGAGAAACCTCCTTCCAAAAGCTAAAGAAAAACCCAGGCTCTGGGACTTGTTTCTAGGATGCAATGCCGAGACACAAGACCCCAAGGAGCTTTTGCAGTCTCTGGCCCAGGATGCCTCCACTCTGCTTCATCTGCAAGGCAACGACACTGCAGGAGCACAATTTAATCCAGTAAACCTAACACACGAACTGGCAGTGAAACTAAGCCCCCTATTTTGCTGTGGTGAATGCGCTCTCAGCACTTTGTAGGCTGCTGTCTTGTAGCAAGAGAGGTAGCTTTTGTCTGCAGGGTAGCAAGGAAGCTCATTTTTGTTAGGAAGCCTGTTCCTACCTTCACTCCATTCCCTCACATGCTACAGCTCTCCTCTGTCACCAGGGAGGGCAAAGATGGACAAGTTCAGACAAAGATGCCAAGTTCAATGCACTATTTACAAGCTACTAACCTGGATACAAGAGCCACAGAGCCACTGGATGACACACCAGTAACAGAGGAAGCATCCGAGTCACCTGCAGGAGGGGACAGACTCAATTTTTGTCTCCATGGGGAGTGAATGCACAAAGTTAGGAAGGGAACAGAGAAAAAAAATGCCCCAGGGGACAGACCCTTCCCAGCTGCCTCGAATCCTTGGACCCTGGGTTTTGCCCACTAATTGGTGGCATAAAAGGCAGGACAGGGGGTGGAGCTGACAGCCCTGCACAGAGAGGAGATGGGGAAGGTTTGGTGCAGGACAGTGGCGAACCCTAGCCTGCTCCTCAGAGGAACCCACGCAGTTCCTCCTTGCTGCTACATTGCTTTTGGGTTCAGCACAATCTCTAGGTCATCCTGAAATGACAGCATGAATGTAAGACAGGAGGGCAGCTGTGCTCACCCACAACTCCCAGACGGCCCCCAAACACCCCACCTCGAGGCACAGAGCACAGTCCTCCCTGAGGAACCAGCACTCACTGTCCTCATCCTCCTCCTGGCTGCAGCTCTCGTCCAGGCCATCAGGAAGTTCTTCCTCCACTTCGTCCTGGGGATGGCTCAGCTCCAGTGGCGACTGCTCAGCAGCGACACTGGAACAAAGGACATGACATCAGGAGGAGTGGCATGTGTTTTTCAGAGCCAAAAGACCCAGAAGCCCACAAGCGCTACACAGTAATTCCACACTGTGGCTGAAGGAGAAGGCAGAAGGGCTCAGAGCCACCCTGAGTGCCTGCATCAAGCTGGGGGTGACAGGAAGGCTCTCCCCACACCAGGATGCCGCAGATGGGTTTTGCTCAGGGATGCAGCCCATGGTTATCCTTGTGGCCACCCCTGTAGTGCCCACAGCACATCCTCTCCCAACACAAACAGACACAACGGCCAGCCCATCCCATCCTGCTACGGCCTCCCTCCTCCTCCTCCTGATTCTACTTACTTAAGCCTTCCCACGGGCACAGCCTGGGCCAGTTCCTCCTCTTTCTCCAGTTGGATGGTGGACATCTGAGTTGCCACTTCAGAGACAGCAGCAAGTTGTGAATGCTCTGGTCTCTCCACCTGGTTGCTGCTGTGTGGGCTCAGCGAGCTTACAAGCCGGCAGTCGGCGTTGTGGTTGGGAGAGCCAGCGTGCGAGGCCAAGAGATGGACGCTGATACGCTTAGTGCAGACGACGGCACCATCGGTGCCAATAAGGCTCGAGTTACCATTAAGGTGATGGCTACCCATCTCCAAGTTCAGAGGAGCAACAGTTTCTTTCGGGGTGAGCTGTGCTATGATGTGCTGCCCCCACCTGCTGTTCCAGTTGAACAGGCTGCCCACATTCGTAAGGCCAGAGCTTTTGACTTCACGTCCAAAGCCGTTGCATGGGGCAGTCTGTCTGGCTAGCTGCTGCACAGACTCTGTGAGGCTGATCTCCGGCTCCTTCTCTTTTAAGCTGTGTGCTTTCCTCTCAGCATCCTCCTGCGAACACGGGTCCTTCCTGACGATTGCACTGCTGGGCATGTGGGTCAGGGAGGGGACCGTGGTTTGCTCCAACACAAGGTCACTGCTTTTCACTGCTCCGTTGACCAGGCTGCTGGGAGAGCTGTCTCCATCATCCCCAGAGTGGGGCCACGGGGCAGCAGGGAAGCTGTGGCTGCTTTTCACCTTCTTGATCTCCAGTGACTGCAGTAAAGGCACTTTAGCACTGCTTGGCCGTAGGAAAGAGTTGTTATTGAGCACTGGCCTATAGGAGCTGGAAGCCTGCCGACCTGAGCTGAGGGCATAGCCTTTGACCCCAGTCCCAGAGTGCTCCTCTGCTGGCACAGGCAGCAGGCAGGGCTCCATCAGCAAGGAAGACATCACCCTTCCCGTGGTGGAGCCAGTGTCCAGAGGGCTTTGGAAAGGAAACCCGTAGGGCTTGGGTCTGAGGCCAGAGCGTCGGTAGAGCAAAGCACTCCCACCCAGGTCCAGGCAGGGCTGGGCCAAGGGCAGGCTCGGGACGGCACCTTCACTGGGGTGTGTGTGGCATAGTGATGGTGGGCACAAGAAGCAGGATTGCTGCAGAGGGATCCCTGAGGGCAGCAGGCTGCGATCCTGGAAAGCACTCACATACTTCTCTAAATTCCAGATGGGTTTTGCCTGCTGCTGAGAGAGACGCCAGGCCCGGCCTGGCTGAGCTCTCCGTGCCAGAAGGGTACCTGACTTGAGCCCAATGCTCTTCTCCTGTTTGGGGCCCAGGTTAGCGCATTCTGGTCCTGCAGAGGCCATGTAGAGCCATAGCATGAGGCACAAGCAAGTCAGTCATCTACAGCAGCATCTTTGCTGGCCTGAAACAAGAAGACAGCATGAAAGGCACTGTTACCCCGGCAGGGCAAAGCACACGGCCCAGTGCCCTAAGGGAGAAGTAGGGCGAGCTGCTTTCCCTGCAGGATGAAAAACCATGTCTCCACCTGCTGAGCTCCTCGAGAGCCTCCTGGGACCCAGTCAAAGGAAGTGCTGGCATCTCACATGAAACCAGAGAATGCAAAGGACAACTTAAGAGAGAGCCCTGGGAAAAGTGTCGCCTGCAGGAAAGCTTGTACCCTGCAAACATGCAGGGGTGCCTGGCTGCCAGCCAGGGCCACAAAGCAGCAGCCCCAGCTGCAAGGAGAGGCTGCCTTGGACCTGGCATGGCAGCCAGAGCCCAGTCCCATGGGTCTGTGTCTCCGAATTGCACCATGTGCTCCGCCACCAGCTCTCCCAACTCCACCACAAGCCCCAAAACATCTGCTTCTTTTTCTTCTCCCCACTTCTTCAGCTCCCAAGGTCACACAACTAGGCGAGAACCTCAGCCCTTGCTTTTAAAAGGAACAAGTTTCTCACTTTTGTAAGCCCATGGAAAAGCCCAGTGAGGGCTGAGGGCATCCTAAAGAGCTCAGGACTAAGAAGTCAAGCAAGGAGCAAATACAAGGCTGTTCTAACATCAGCACCTTGGTTTCCAGCAGAGACTGGCAGTACCACACACACATTCCTCCCCACGGCAGTCCTACAGAAAAGTCTCTTGCAAGGAGCAACTGGCAGACCACAGTCCTGCAGACGTAGGTGTCCTGAATCCTCCTAAAATGAATTATTGCACCATGCCTGCAAGATCCTCTTGCCTGGGGAGAGGGAAGAGAAAACAAGCCATGGGCCAGGCATTTGTTTTGCTTTAACACATGCCTGGAGGGCCCCTGGATGCAGCCTCAATAGGAATCTGTATCCCAAGCAGGCTGGACAGATGGCTTGCTCTTCCACCTTACAACTCTCACAAGCTTGCATGTTTAAAATAACCAAAAAAGTATAAAAAGTATAAAAAGAAGGGAAAGCAGAGCATCAACCATCACCCCTTAGCTTCCTTGCAATACACATACACACTCCTTTCTCACCTGAAAATCAAGCCTTGGCTGCAGCAGTTATAGCATAGTTAGGAGAGACCCTGGGGTTGCTCTGCAGCACCACAACAGCAGTTCACACCCAGCAGGGCTGGGTCAGACAGACCTACACCCCACACAGACCCACACCTGCCAGACCTTCTCAGCCTGCGATTCAGGCCCCAGTCTCCAGCACAGATCAGGTCAGCAGCATCCCATCCAGGGGCTATATGAGGTGGGAACATCCCAGGCAGGATCCCATAGGAGCTATACATCCTCAAGGAGAGCTGCTGCCCTGCCAGGCTCTGCAAGGAAGTATGGAAGGGGTTGGGTCTGCTCCATGGCCGTGGCTGTGCTGCTCATTACCGCTTATACAGTCTCGCTGAGCACTCCCGATGAGGACAGGGCAGCTGTGTCCCTCTGCGAGCTGCAGCCCAGAGGGGCTCTGAGCCCCAGGGAAGCGAACCCCCCACACCGTACACAACTGAGCTGTACCGCACTATCCGATCGCTACCTGATCCGTGCCCAGCAGCAAACCCAGCCGTGTTGTGACATTCACAGCGATTAGCACAGAGCAAAGAGGCTGTGGCTCAGATGCCGCCACCCGCCTGGCTCAAGTTTCCCCCGGTAAACAAGCGACAGCTTCCGCATGCTATCCCCCCAGATGCACCCAGGTGGCAAGCAGGCTTGAATCACAAAGCAACCCTAGCACACCAGCGAATGTAGATGTGAAAAAGCAAAATAAAAATGCAAGGAGGTGAATTAAAGTGGCCTCGATGTCCCTGCCTAAAGACAACTGTTACTGCAGCATCACGGCACGCACTGCCAGCTTGGCCATCGCCTGCGCTCTCACCCGGCTGTGAATGACCTTGCAAAACCAGCCTGCAGTGAAAGCCACCTGCGCCTCGCCTCCACCCGGCTTTACAGCTATCAGTGGATCATCCTGCTATAAAAATAAAAGTGATTTGGCCTAATGAAGCTGTAACAAGGGACGTGAATCCTACAGCCAGCTTAGACATGGGCAGCAGAAGCCCTGTGTAACCCTGCTCTGGAATAAGTGACAACGATGGCACAGATATGACCTGCACAGGCACGGGGGTACCTCCAGCAGCTGCGGCTGCCAGGGCAGCCTGCTGGCCACGGCACGGCTTTAGCCACCATTGATTGCCTGCTCGGTCAGGGCTGGTCCCCAGCCCTGCAGTGGCACAAGGAGAATGTGCTGAGCTTGCCCCTCTCCGGACTGGTTTTGCCATGGAGCCACAGAAGCAGCTGGGCTGGCACAGGGCAGAGGTGCACTGGAAGCAGCGGCTGCAGAAGGAAGCAGCAGGGCCTTTTGTACAGCTTCCAGGTGAAGACTGTGCTGGCCAATAGCTAGTAACCACCACTGTTTCCCTGTGGAGACACAGGAGCGCAGAGACAGGGTCAGGAAGGATGAAAGGAAGAACATGCCCCTGCGTGGGGCAGGTCAGGATGCATCCAGACTGGCAGCACCACCTTATCCTGCCTGTCTTTCCCCCTGTCCACACTCCTGTCCCACCTTCTGCATGCCAGCACAGCCATCTTTGATGTCTGCCTGCAAACCAGCTCCTGTCCTCACTGCAAAGACAGCTCAGCAAAGCAGCTGCTGAACATCCAGGAGAACTGGTGGAGATGGAGGCACCTTCACATGCCAGGCTGTGGGCACAACAGGACAGCAGTTGCCATGACCCCAAGGCTCTGGGCACAAACCACGTCACCTGCCCCAAGGTAAATCCCTGCTGGTTACCAGTCAGGGAAGTTTCCCCTTTACGTTTAACTTTGTCAGAGTTTTGGGGTGGAGGAAGGTCACAGCTTGATGCAATCCCTAGTGCTGCCCAACCCAACCTACGGCAACGAAGCAGGAGTCCATTCTGCTGCTCACAACAGCAATCAAACTACACTTGGAAATTTTGTTGTAGAAACATGAGCTGGGAAAAGCCCAGGGTCAGCTGGCTGGGATGGAAGTCAAGCCCAAACATCATTACTAGTAATTAATGGATTTTGGTTTGGACTTATTGACACACAATATAGAGGCCAAAGTTGTCACTGTTGGAGTGACCGTACAGCTGTGCTTGCTTACAATTATTTCGCTAACACCTTTTATTACTGCACAGCCTGCTCTCAAGCTTCGGGACGTCAGCTGGAGTGCTGCCACAGCCTTTACGAATGTCACATCACAGGTGCACAGGGGCCACCACGCGCCCCAGCCTGTGCGCACCCCATGGAGCATCACTGGAAGTCCCTTCTTCCAGCCCGAGCCTCCCTGCACTCCTCCAGCAGCAGCGTGGCAGCTCCTCACAGACTCGTTTCTAGCACGAAAGGACGAGACCGTAAGAGCCCGGGTGCGCACGTCATCCCTCCGCCACGTGAGTTTGGCTGGGGAGGTTATTTTAAACGCGGCTGCGGTGACACACTTAAAATAACAAGAGCTTGTGAATGCATGAGCTGCAAGCTGACCTGATAATGTGCTGTCAGCCTCACACAGCCCGAAGTCACCGTGAGGAGGGGTCAGACAACTGTGATTTGCTATTGTTGCCTATGCTACGGCAGGGTGCAATTTCTGTTCTTTATGATTAGAAAGCATAACACCTTTTTCTAAATGAGACCGGAGTTCACACCAAGTTCCTCACTAGCAGCTCCGGGGCTTTTGATTAAAGCTTGAACAAGCAAGTTAACAAAACACCAAATAAACAGTTTTAAAAAAAAAACAAAAAAAATTTCAAAATAAGGGTTTGTACCCCTTCAAAAAAATTAAAAAGCTTTCAACAAGATCAAGCGTGTTGATCTGAAACCAACTGAGTGAGCGTGTCTAAAGCCGCTCTTACACCTGGTAGCTAGGTACAAGCTCTTGTGTTTCAACAGCACGGAACCAACCCTCACCTACATCAGCTCCAGGAAACAAGCAACCCCCAGTCCAGTCACACATTGAGACAAAGCAGCACCCAAGGCCACCCGCGAGTTCAAGCTGAAGAGCAGAGGGTCCTGCTGGCCACGAGAAGTCCGTGAGGACGAGACAGCTCAGAGACAGTTTGGCCACCATGGAAATGCTGGTGGCACAGGGACCAACAGCCTGGCATGCTGCTTTGCCACACAGTTACACATCGCTGCTCCCTCCCAGCTCCAGTATCCTCCTGCAGAAGCACATTTTGGGTGCAAAACCTGAGGGACAGGATGATGACCGATTTCTCTCCTAATCAAGACACCAAGTTTTTGCTTGGACCCTCAGGTCAAAAAAAAGATACCAGTGAGAAACCGCCCACTATAGGGATGTGTCAGCAAATTCCACCTGCATCCCGGATTACATTTGTGCCTGGCATTTGTGCTGGGGCTAGTCATTCCAATTCAACGGCTGCAGTGCTGAACTCCACGCTGAACAGAGAAGGCATGAGAGGCGCACGGCTGCCCAAAATTGTCGTTAAACGCAGCAGAGCAGTTCTGGCGCACGTTCCTGTTCCTGAGGTGGCAGGGAGGGAGGGAGGCAGACCTCACGGGTGGCAGGGTGTCGGACCAAGCCACGGGAGAGCTGGAATCCAGCCGCCACCTCGCTCTGCACTGCAGCAAATGCCTCCCTCCCTGCACACGCGGGCTGGGCCGGGGACTGAAAGCTCACGCGTTCAAGTTCACAGGGGACTTTCTCACCGTTCTCAGGCATCAGGGCACGGTATCAGGCAAGGTGAGGGACTCCAGTGTGGTTAGGCAGTAAATCCAGTGCTGCAGCTTTGCTGTGGAGAGAGTGCACTGGGGACATCTAAATTAAAGGGCTGGCTCAGTGGCTCACTTAGGAGGGCTGACCTGGCTGTGACCAAAGAGTGTGGGGGCCACGCCGAAGGGTGAAAGGTCCAGAGCATGGAGTCACCATTGCTACTGAACAATATTGACTTTTCTGCTCTGAGTCCCCGGCCACAGAAGGGGACCTACCGCAAAGCGACAGTGAACCATGCAGCTCTGGATTTCCCCAGCAACAAAGCTGGGAAGTCCCTGCTTTTGTTCCTGCCCGTGATTCTTACTTTCTCATCATCTGAGCTATGGGAGCAGCTGTATCGCAGCATAAACTAGAGTAGAGAAATGAGTCTGGGTTAAAAGCAACCAGCTAGAGGATGTGGAGGTCCTTCCAGTGAGAAGGTCTAAAGAACCTTCCTGCAGATCCGAGCAGGCAGAAAACCGAAGGGATAGCATTCTCAATGGAGATTCATGATGAAAAGGTTGAATTATGCAGCAAGACCTGGGGAGAGCTTGGCCACCAGCGCGGGAATGACAGGCAGTCAGCACAGCTGTCTGGTTTTAGGCAGCCTGGCTATACTCTCAGCCTTTGGCACAAAAATAAAAAAAAGGCGGAAGACTTAGGGTGAGTGGAACGAGTACAAAATATTAATATGTAGCAAGGAGACAAGAACTGCCCAGTTAGTTCGAAATACATAAATTCTTTGTCCATCCTCTTTTCTTGACACTTTTTTTCTGAAACATATCTGGAACTGGAAGAAAAAGCTCCTAGGTCTGTCTTCCAGTATGTGACGAGGACCCTTCTGTGCCTTGACCAGGGTGGGAGATTCCCCTGGAGGCACTGCAACCACCTCACTCCATACAGCTGTCTCTCAGAGCTGGGGAGTGGAGCAGAAACAGAGATTCAAGTTGGGAAGAAGGCGCCAAATACTCCCAGACTTGCTGCACGGGAGGAATCTGGGAAATGCCAAGGAATGGCACTTGGCCAGACTGGTATGGCAGCCAAAGCCCCTGACCTGCACCAGTGACACGACATCTCCATGCAGGCATCATTATCTGGGGATGGTGGCATTTGGCCCCGTCAGTGTCCTCGTCAGTGTCCTCGCAATGCGATCCCTGCTATGCCGAGAAGAGCCCCAGGCATGACCGAAAAGTGGGAGGGGCTGATTTGTCATCACAAAGTTGCCTAATACAAAACTTAAGGACTGCAGCAAGAGCAACACAAGGACAGACAAGTACCACTATCTGCTGGGTACAACAGCTAAGAATCAAGGAAAAATTATCATATAAAACTGTAATCAGACCAACAATTCAACGTTAATTCCCCCAGACTGCCTAGGAGCATGCCTGCTCAGTGGGAAGCACACAGCAATGCGAAAGAGAAGCCGCATCGCGGGGAGTCACGTAGGTTTTTGATGTGGAGCTATGGGGCTGAACTCTGCCGCCCACGAGACATCCACAGCCCGGCTGGTCAGGGAGAGCACAGGCTGGCACAGCGCTATGGGGCTCCCCTACTCCTGCACGCCTCGTTCCCAGCCCGGACCCTGGAGGCATTCAGGAAACACTCCAGGCTTGTCTAAACTTTTCTTGCAGCTCTGCTGTTCACCTGTCAGACCCACCGGCTCCTTTTTACAACACTAGAGTAGCCCAATTACGATGCCAGTGACAGGATTAACTGCTGAGCTGTCCCAGCAACCCGCTCAGGTCCAGCCAACCCCAGCTCTATCTTCACTGCTGCTCCAAGAGCCCGTGCAGAGCCGTGGCGCCTCTTCTTCCTCCCTGGCGCTCACCCGGGGAACATGCTCCGGTTCTCGTTTCTTCAGGTAAAAGTCTTGGAGGCCAAAGGCGC